ATCATAAACTCATGTTTTTCCATATGCTCCTTTATAGGGCACAGTAGGCAGCAAACTAAATTTCCCCTTCTTATCTACATTTCTTTCTTCTGTGTGGATAGCAAAATCTCCCTGACATATGCTACACAGGTGTCCATGACTCCACTACTGCAGGGACTAAACAAGTTCTTACATGGTGAACAATGTGAGGGCATTCTTAACATAGAAACTCTTTCTGTTTTAACTATAAACTTTAAACTATAAACAATCAAGTCAGATATGATGTATGATTATTCATTTGATTTTTAAATTTTATATATGAATCTCACATTTTCTCCTTTACGTTTCTAATAAAATGCTGAAGTAGTAGGTAGATGCAAGATATAGATAGAAAGCATGATTTAGTGCTGTAAGAAGGCAAGTGTAGATGATCAGGTCTGTGCCTATAGACTAGGTATTAATCCAAGCTGAACAAGAGCAACAAAACATCCACGGGTGTAGACAATTTCTCTCAAAACTGGGGGGATGAGGTTCTAAGCCTCACCTCTGTTGGCCCCCATTTTCTCACCTGGTGGCCCCCCTACGACTGTGCCTGTCTTAGGTTATTCCTTCCTTGAGGAATCTTACCTGTCTCTGACTAACCAGCCATCTTACAGGGCCATACAGGGAGATGTAAAGCTGGTAAGTGAGAGAGAAGTAATATTCTTTGGAAAGGTTAGTTTTTCACTTCTTTTCAGATTCATGCTCCATGGCTTCTATGCCCAGCACTTGTTTTGAGGTATCTTTACTTCCTGGAAAATTATGGTATTTGGTAATCTCACATATAAGGCACAAAGTTTAGTAAATGGCTGTAATTAGGAAAGAAAAAAAAAACTATAGAAGTAGCAGAGGGAAGAAAACATGAGAAGATTAATTAAGTGTCAGACAGGGTTATTCTATTCAACATTCTCTCATAACTCTATTTCTAGAAAACTTTCCATCACTAGTTTCACTAGCAGTGTAATAAAAAAAGGGGGGGGTAATCTCAGTGGAAATGGGGTGGTCAGTGTTTGACTAACTAACAGTAGGTTTCAGTACTTTATGCCAAGATTGCCATTTGGCCCTTGTGTGTTCCATTCTTCAGGAGCACTGTCCTGAAAAGCTCCTGGGAAACTTATGTTCTCATCCTTTCCACACTGCTCAGCAAAGGTTAATTAACCCTTGGCAACAATGCAAGCAAAAAACAAAACCAATAGTCTAATGGAGAAAAACAAAATCAAGGTGGGTAATAGGGAGAGTCAGCTGTGAAGGCCCCTGCTTTGCGGGGGTCTTCCTCCAGCCTGAGCTTTGCTACACAGCCTGAGTAGCATGGCTCCCAGCAATTTCCTCCCCCAGTTTGGGGAAATTCTCAGCAATTATTTCTTCAAAGACATTTTCTATCTCTTTTTCTCTCTCTTCTTCCTCTGGTACCCCTATAGTGCGGATATTGTTCCTTTTGGATTGGTCACACAGTTCTCTTAATATTGTTTCGTTTCTGGAGATACTTTCATCTCTCTCTGCATCAGCTTCTATGCATTCCTGTTCTCTGATTTCTATTCCATCAATGGCCTCTTGCATGTTATCCATTCTGCTTATAAATCCTTCCAGAGTTTGTTTTGCTTCTGTAATCTCCCTCTGGACTTCATCCCTTAGCTCTTGCATATTTCTCTGCCGCTCTGTCAGCATGTTTATGATTTTTATTTTGAATTCTTTTTCAGGGAAACTGGTTGGGTCTGCCTCTGCAGATCTTTTCTCAGGTGTTGTTTGAAGTATATTGGACTGGACCAATTTTTTTTTGCCTTTTTATGGTGATAGCAGTGGCTGTAGGCAGGTTGCAGGTGTGTCAGCTGGGAGAAGAAAGTCATTTCCTGCTTGCTGGATGCCTTGCCCTTCTCCGCTGCCTGTGATGGTTACCTGCACTCCTGGAGCAGCCACTGGGTTAGTCCCCTAAGCTGCTGTGGGTGGGGTGTCCATCAGAACAGCACAGAGCCCTGTGGGGAGTGGCAGGCACACCAGGTGCACTCCTCTGTGCTAGTGGTGACCCTGCTGGGCAGCTCTGTGCCAGCAGTGGCCTTTGGGTCTGGCCCAGGTGTCTATGCCTTGGGCTGGGATTCTGGTTGTCTGCTGGGAGTGTGCCTGCTCCCTCTGGCTCTGCTGCAGGTGCATATGGGCCTCTCCCAGGCTCCTCTGGCTCCCCTGCCACCAGTGCGCATGAGTCGCACCCAGGCTATTCGTTTGCTTCACTGCAGGCTTGCACAAGCCTCTCCTGGCCTATCTGGCACCACTGGCACACGGATCTGCTCTCGGTCCCTTCCAGAGCCACCATCTCTGGCATGCGCTGCCACTCTCCCACTACTGGGCCGGTGTGTCAGGGTCCGTGACCATTGGAGGAATGACTGGCGGGCTGCTCAGTGCCGTGAGGGGCTTCAGAGCTGCACTGCCTCCCCGGGGTTTAGGGTGCCTACGTTTCTCCAATATTCCCAGCTGCTGGCTATATGTGCCATGACAATTTTGTCCAGCTATGGGGTCCCTGTCTCTTTAAGACTTGCAGAAAGCACTCGCTTTTCTTTTGTCTCAGGGGTGCTGGTTGCAGGGACCTGCCCACAGGTTTTTCTTTTCTGTTTCTCTAATATCCAGCACCCCGTGCACCTTGTCTGTGTTCTGGGTGTGGATTTCTAGAGCTGGTTGTTTAGCAGTCCTGGGCTTTCACTCCCTCCCCGTTCCGACTCCTTTCTTCCCACTGGGTTCTGGGGTGGGGGAGCGTTCAGGTCCCGCCTGGCCGTGGCTTGTATCTTAGCCCCATCATGTGATGCTGAGTTCTCACAGATGTAGATGTATCCTGGCTGTTGTACTGCATCCACTGGTGTCTCTTTTAGGAATAGTTGTATTTATTGTATTTTCATAAATATATATGTTTTGGGGAGGAGATTTCCTCTGAATTACTCATGCTGCCATCTTCCTGTGATCCTTCAATTGCTCTTCTTGATGCACTTATGCAAATAATCTAGCCAAGTATTATTTTCTATAGAAAAGTATTGTTTCAATAATGTAGCCTTTATCTATACTAAATCCTAATACTAGTCATTGGAACATAAATTACATTCAGAACTCGTTTCCCCAAAAAAAATATCTGGCTATGATTCTTCAGATGTGTTAGTTTTCTCCCATCATTTCAATTAAAGTTTTACTATTTCTAGTTCTTGTATTCAACCATGCATTCTTAATCTCATTGTTTGTCCCTCCAGAATGGAAAATCCAATTCCAAATGTTGCTGCTTAACCTAATAACACAATTTGCTCTATTTTGCCTAGAAGCCATAAAACTGCAAATAGTAATAGAAATGGAACCCACAATAGAGGTGCCCATCTTCTGAGGCCCTCTCAACTGATCAGTGATGGATACCTAGGTGCACCCTATACTAAGCCCCCTTTCAGCATGAAGCAGCCAGAGAAGTCATCACCCCCTTTCTTTAGCAGCAGCTAGGGTCTCTATCTGTAGAGGGGGAATGAGACAGGGACCATGGGCTTAGACAGAGTAGGTTGAGGGCCTCCAGAAAAAGCAAGGCAAGATATTTACAGTCAAAGCCATGTAACAATGTAAAGTCCCTATCAAAACTGTTTAGCATTATGCAAAGTCAAGGACACACTAATTCTCTAGGGTAAAGATACTAGACTAGGAATATAGACATCTTCAGTGAGATCAGTTAAAGGTCGAAAGGCCAGGAGCAACTCCACCTGGAATGTTTGTGTTCCCCAAAGGTATCTCAGCATAACCCATGACTTCACTATGAATAGCCCTAGCAAACAGACAACAACCCAGCCCACCTTGAGGGTAGGGCAGGTGGTACAAGTCCACACCCTAAGCCCTCAATTCCCAAAAATCCTCAACTGCCTATAAATCCCTTAGACAACACACCACCCTGGGCTCTCTTGTCTCCTCCTGGCATAAGCCAGGAGCTCTGTCTGTCTTCTCACTGTATCTCTCAGTAAAAGTCTCTCTGGCTCTCCTACCTTGACTGTTTGCTGAGTTCATTCCTCAACCCTGCAAACAAGAACCCTGGCATCACTGGCAGTGGTGGAAACGTTCCCTGCACCACTGGTGGTTGGATGATGAAGGAACCACTGGAACTGGTCGGGTGCCTTCAGGCTGCCACAGCGAGCATGGCTACATTTGCCTCTTGGTTTCTTTACTACTACCTTTTCCGCGCCTTTCTTAGCCAATGTGGGTAAAATTGCAGTATTTCCAGAATCTCTTGCCTGGCTTTAGTGCATCTACATTCAATAGTTATTTCCAAGGGGTGGAGGGAAGTAGATCATCTCCATATCAATAGGTAATCACATGGGCAAGGGAGGGCTTATCTGGACCAGAGAGGCTGTATGGGGCCTCTTATGCATCCTGGTCCTGAGAGAGAAGTGCAAGCAGAAGTAGACTGCTTGTAGGCAATAAGCGGATTTCTCCCACTTTATTTCTCACTTTGATTTCGGCTTCAAAATATTTTGCCCAGATCTTCCCCTGGAGTTACAGCCAACCAATAAGCAGGTTATTATGAGGGTGTGAAATTGAAAATACTCAGTTACCTCTGTGGCTCCAGATCCCAGCCACTGGAAGGGAAGTTGGCACCTGCACTGGGAGATAGGGGCTGCTGATCAGGGGCCAGAGCAGGCAGACAGGGAGGGCCCTGCAGGTTCTGGGGAACTGGGGTGCTAGGCGGGGAAGGCCCTAGAGGGAGGTGGGAAGCCAGTGGCCAATCCTGCTCCTGACGAGATAGCACCCAGTCACTTTGTGTGGTCTCCACATTTTCCTGTTACAGTTGCATGGCAGTTTAGACATGTTTCAGTATTTTCTCTTCTCTCTGAAGTGTTGCATTCTGCCTGGGGTCACTGTTTTCTTCATACTTTTTACCTCCTCCCTCCTTCCAGGTGTTAGCATTGGTGGAGAGGTATTGTGTATTTTCCTTGGTTCTTGTCCCTGCTACCAAAAAGAATTGAAGGGCAGAGACACAGTCATGAAGCAGAGTAAAAGTTTTATTTAAAATTACTTAGAAAGAAGTGCAGGAGTCCTCAGAGAGAGGTGTGCCCTGAAAGGTTGGGTGTTCCCCCTTTTAAGGATTTTTCAGGAATGTGACTGTAAGGTAAAATCGAGCCAAAATGACCAGGTGAGGAAGCAAAAAAGGAGCCAAAAGTTTAATAGGGTGCAATCCTGGGCAATGTTTGCCAGTCTGGTTAGTCACAGGCCAGAGAAGTGCCCAGCAGGGCAGGCAGTGAGTTTATAAAGAAGTTAGGGGGAGGGAGAGCATAGGTCTACAGTGGCACAAGGATTGGCTAGCCTAAGGCACACATCATTGGCCTTTACAGTAGACAAATGGCTAGAAAGCTACTACTCCTTTTCCAGGTTGGGAGGGGGCAGCAGCCGGGGAGTTTGGCATGTCATCAGGCTGGAATCTGTTGGTCTCTTTCCCTTACTAGGCCAGAGTTGGGGGCTTTGCTGCCCCCTTTCCTTATTTGGTGAGGGTGAGCTTGTCTGACGTGCTCACCCCTCCCTCTGATGCCTCCAGCCTTACATTCCAGCTTTTTGGTTATAATGGGTGCTGACTCGAACTGGCTACTTCCAGCTGAGGAGGGGTGGTGTGGGCAGGGTTAAGGCTGGTGGGAGGCTGGAGGAGGCTTGGAGGGAAGGGGCGAGTACTGATGTACCAGCATAGTCTTGTGCACTTCTACCATTGACCTATCGGTGTCTGGAGGTTCCAGCAGATATGTTGTCCTTGTCTCTCAGGACAGACATATCTGCACGATTATCCAGGCTTTGCCCCATCCAGTAGTGTTGTCTGGAAGATGAGAGACAGACCCAGGCTCGTTCATAGCAGGTAGCCTGGATGAAGGAATACAAAGATGAGCATTGGGTAGAACAAGGGGTTATCTTTCCTTGGGGATTTGGTGGAGGGTCTCGTACCTAGCAAATGGTCTTGCCGACTCCTCCTGGGCAGCTAGTTTGGAAATCTCTTAACATTATAGCGGCCCAGTACAATTGATATCCCTGCAACAAGGTACTTTTTGAAAGTAGCATGTCCAGGGGACCAATTGGTGGGGTTGGAGCATGCCTTATATGATGCACTGGTTACAGACCCAGTTTGCCAGAGCCAGATGGGTCATTGTGGCCAGCACTAGTGTGAGTAAGGCACAAACGGAGGTGCCCTGTCTCTCTGGACCCCCACCTATCATGACTGGGTGCTTGTTTGAGCCTGGAGATGTGGTACCACAGGGAGTGTCCCAATAGCTTGGCAGCTGTGGGAGTGGTAAGGACCACCATGTATGGTCCCATCCACCATGGTTGGAGGGACCGAGGTAGGAGTTCTTTAAGAAGGACTTCATCTCCCGGCTGTAGAACCTCCGTGATTCTTGGATTCGAGGGGGAGGTGGGTTGAGGCAGGAATTGGTCTGCATGTTCCCTGAGGAGATGTCTTAGGAGTGAGAAGTAAGGTAGGTAGGAGGCTAGAGGGGGTGGAGTTGTAGGCAGGCCTGTGTTTAGAAAGAAGGGTCTACCATACATTAACTCAAAGGCACTTAGTCCAGTGGGTCCCCTGGGGACTTCTCGCAATCAGGTGAGAGCAATTGGGAGTAGGTCTGACCAGGAGGTCTTTACCTCTAAAGAGAGTCTGGAAAGTTGATCCTTGAGAAGGCCATTGGCCCTTTCCACCTTACCTGAGGATTGAGGGTGATAGGGTATGTGTAGTTAATAGGAGATATTTAGAGAGCCAGCCACCAGTTGTGTGACCTTTGAGATGAAAGCTGGTCCATTGTCTGCAGCGACATCAGGAGGCCAAAACAAGGGATGATGGGTTCCACTAACGTCTTTGCCACTACTGGCATAGTCTCTTGGCAGGTAGGAAAGGCCTTGATCCAACATGAAAGTGTATCAACCATAACCAGTAAATATCTGAGCTTCTTGTGTCTAGGCATGTGGGTAAAATCAATCTGCCAATCCTGTCCAGGTAGCGCTCCCCTGCAGCTGGTGGAGGGCTGCACAGCATTTGAGGGTGCCTTGAGAAGAAACATGATGACAGGTGGTGCAAGCCATATGTACCTGGTTAATGGTCTTTTGGAGCCCAGGTGGGGCAAAGATAGGGGAGAGAAACCTGTACATAGCCTCTGGACCAATATGGAGGAATTGGTGAACTGTAAATATGATTTCCCTGGCATGGGCCTGGGGAAGAGTTATCCTGTCCTTAAGATGTATCCATCCCTGTTGTCCAGCCATTCCACCCTGGTCTAAACGTTGTTGTTTTTCCTCTTTGGAATAATTAGGAGTTATAGAGGGGGAGAGAAACAATACTGGGGAATAATCAGGACCCGAGGTTAGTTGTTGGGCAGTAGCATCGGCTAGAGAATTCCCTTTAGTGACCAGGTCAGTACCTGTCTGGTGTCCCCAGCAATGAACAATAGCCACCTCCTTGGTTTCCTGTAAGGCCTGGAGTAGGTGATGAATTGTTTTATCATTTACAATCAGGGTCCCTTGGGTAGTGAGGAATCCCCTTTCCTTCCAGATTGCTGCATGGCTGTGTGCGATTAGGAAAGCATACTTTGAGTTGGTGTAAATGGTTACCCTAAGTCCTGCTGCCAACTGTAAGGCTTGGGTGAGGGCTACTAGTTCTGCCTTTTGGGAGGTGGTTCCCATCGGCAGGGGAGCTGCCTCCACTATTTCTGAGGAGGAGGAAACTACCGTGTAGGCCGCTCCCCTACACCCATTTGAATCCCTGATTGAGCTTCCATTCATGGACAATTAAGTCTGGGTCAGTGAGAGGTGTGTCCTGGAGACCCTCTTGTAGGAGTCAAAGAGTTTCTACCAGCTCTGTGGAGGAGTGGCTGGGTGTGGCAGATGAACTGGAGGGAGGAAGGAGGCTGGTTGGGTGTAATGATGGTGACACCTGTAAAGTTAACTGGGGGTGCTCAATAAATAGGAGGTGAAATTCCTGCACTCGTGATGGGCTGAGAGAGGCCAAGGATTTGTGGCCCAGAAGGTCCTGTAAATGATAAGAGTATACGGTTATCACCTGTAGGAGGGTTAGTTTCAGAGCTTCTTTGGCAAGGCACGCTGCCACTGCCAGGGCTCTAAGGCAGGGTTGCCACCCCTTAGTGGTGGGATCCAGTTGTTTTGACAGGAAAGTGACCAGTTGGTGTCTGGGTCCTACTGGCTGGGACCAGCACTCCAGTTGCTATTCCCAACTTTTCTGTAGTATATAAGAGAAAAGGTTTGTTAGGGTTAGGCAGCATAAGTGGGGGTGAGGAGAGGAGGGCATTTCACAGTTTTTCAAAAGCATGGGCCACTGTGTAGTAGAGGTGAGTGGCCCAGAGGGCATTTCTTTGGCAGCAGCATACAGAGGCTTAGCTAATAAGGCAAAGTTAGGGACCCAGTGTTGGAAAAACTCCACTAGTCCAAGAAATGACAAGATCTCAGTTTCTGAGGTGGGTGGTAGAAGAGCTCTAATGGAGGCTGTTCAATTCACCGTTAGTGCTCTGGAAGAAGGAGTTAGGGCCACTCCAAGGTATGTAGCCTGTGGGGTGGATAACTGAGCTTTTGATGGAGAGACTCTATCCCTGCTGAGCCAGGAAGTTTAGGAGGGAAGCCATGTCTTGAACAGAGGCCTCTTTTGTGGGGCTACATAGGAGGAGATCATCAACATATTGGAGGAGAGTGTTGACTCCTGTGTCATGATGGGACAGATCTTCTGCCAGTGCCTGTCCAAAAAGGTGAGGACTGTCCCAGAAGCCTTGAGGGAGGACTGTGCAAGTTAGTTGTCTAGTTGGGTGGGTGTCTGGGTCCTCCCAGGTAAAGGCAAACAGTAACTGGGAATTGGGGTGTAGTGGGATGGTGAAGAATGCATCTTTAAGGTCTAAAACTATAAAGTGGGAGGTGTCCGGGGCACACTACCGGCATAGTCTCTTGGCAGGTAGGAAAGGCCTTAGAGTATAAGGGTTAGAGATGACCAGGTGAAGAGGGACTACAGTCTCATTGATTATCCACAGGTCTTGAGCGAGCCAGTAGGCTCCCAATGGCTTCTTGATTGGAAGGATGGGAGTGTTACAGGGAGAATTAGTCAGTACCAGAAGCCCTTGGGAAAGATGGTTAATGATAGGATGGGAAATAGGAAATCGGGGCCTAGAAGGAAAGGAGGATGGGTCCTTGAGGTGGATGAGGACCGGAGCATGATGGCTCACCACTATGGGAGTAGAGGTGTCCCAGACCATTGGGTTAACATCAGTCAACAGTACAGGAGGGTCAGCGGAGGCCTCAGGGCCACAACTTATACTAGCTAGGGCGATGAGTGAACTTGGTTAGGGATGACTAAGTGGCAGGGAGATGGAGGCACCAAGCTTGGATAGGAGACCCCTCCCTAACAAAGGTATGGGACAGGATGGGATGACTAGAAAAGAGTGGGTAAGAGGATGGCCCTCAAACATGCAGGCTACCAGACCTGTCTCTAGAGGCTTAGAGGGAATTCCCATGACACCCATGACTGAGACCTGGGAAGGATGTAAATGCCCATGAAAGGAAGGTAAAACAGAGTAGGTCGCCCCTGTGTCTACCAAAAAGGAGATGGGCTTACCTGTTTCCCACAGCATGGTCCTGGGCTCAGCAAGGGTGATAGGGGTGTTCAAGTCCAGTCTTCAAGTAGGCCAAGAAGGTCTGGAGGAGAGTTCCTTAGGGGGGCCTGCCTCCCACAAGACTCTGTCACGGGAGGACAACCTTCCCCAGCCAGGCACTCTACCTTCCAATGACTTCTTTTACTGCAAACCGGGCAGGGTTTGGTCAGCCTATTTTGGTCGGGTTGGGGCATCTCATTGCCCAGTGGCCTTCCTGGCCACGCCAGAAGGAAGATCCTGGAGGCTCATGAGCTTCGGACCAGTCTTTGGTGTGGTGAGACCCCTGTTCTACTGGTCAGTGGGGTCACTGCGAAGGCTCGGGTCTGGGATGCTATCCTCCTCTCATGTTCTTCATCACAGGTATTAAAGACTTTAAAGGCCATGGTTACCAGGTCATGGAGTGGAGACTGGGGCTCCTCCTCTGCCCATTTTTAACTTACATCTTATGTCTGTGCTGACTGGGTAATAAAATGAGTAGCCAACACCGTGGACCCCAGTGATGAGTTGGGGTTGAGGCAGGTATGTATAGAGAAAGCCTCGGTGAGCCAGTCAAGAAAACAGGCTGGGTTCTCATCAGGTCTCTGAGTAATCTTTCAGCTTATCATAATTAATGGCCTTTTGAGCCATCTTATTCATACCTGCCAGTAAATACTAGAGCATTCGGTCCGTCTGTGTTCCCCCATCTTGGGTATTATAGTCCCATTGGGGGTTTGTGAGAGGAACTGCCTCTGTCCCAATTGGCTTGGCCTGATCCGTGTTATGTGCCTTGTTTGCACAATGTCGGGAGACAGAGGTAACACAGTCATATGAGGTAAGAGTGGAGGTTAGGATAACATGTATATCATGCCAGGTAAGTTCATGGGCTTGAGTTAGGTAGTCAAACTCTTTGGTATTAACTGTGGGGTTAGAGGAATAAGAGCCCAGGAGTCTCTCAATTTGGGATGTTTCCTAGGGAAAAAGGGGCATGAATCTGGACAACCTCTTCTGCCCCTGTAACCTCTCGGCAAGAGGCTGCTAGTTGGACCTTTGGGGTGGCCACTGGGCCTTGGACCAGAGGGCTAGACCAACTGGGAGCTAAGGGTGGCATGGGTACATAAGTTGGTGGCAGGGTGGGAACAGGAAGTGAAGGAGAAGACAGCGGCAATGCCAGGAAAGGATACAAATATGGAACAGTGGGTGTGGGGAGGGTTGTAGGGTCGGGAGAGAAAGGAGGTGGGTCTGTGCTGGGGGTAGTCTTGTCCATGGCTTCCGGAACCAGAGGGTAGGAGGAGCCTGTTCCAGTGGGGAAAGAGGGCAGTGAAGATGGAAGGAGAGGGGCAGAGGGTGGTGCAGACACAGGAAGAGGAGCAGGAAGATGGCATGGCTGAGAATGAAGGACCTAAAGATGGCAGCGAAGTGAGGACAAAGGACCTAAAGATGGCGATGATGTGGGTGAGGACAAGGGACCTAAAGATGGTGGCGATGCAAGGGGAGGGGATCATGGGCTGAGGGAGGTGGGCAACCAAGGTCCTCCGGCGGATCTGAAAAGGAGGAAGGACTGGGCAGAGTAAGAGGCTGACACTCCTTAACTGGAGACCGGGCCAGGAGAACCTGGGTCATTGAACACTTAACATAAAGGTCAGGGCGGGAGCGCTATGTCCAAAAGGTCTGGACATACGGGACTTCAGACCACTTCCCAGTTCGGTGACAGAAGTTAGGTTGGTGAGAAGGCTAAAATCAAAAGTTCGCTCTGGGGGCCAGAGGATACTAGGGCCAAGTCTGAGAACAGAGTCGGACCAGTTTCCGTTTACAGATCTCCTCCACTATATCTAGGGTTGCCAGATTGGATATGAGACACTGCAGAGGGGTCTGAGCCTTCAATTTAGAGGACTGGTTCCCCATGTCTGTTACCCATTTCCCAGAGCCCCTAAACTGGTGAGCCCAGCGTCCCAAACTCGCTCAGGTTAGGAGGAGACAGGGAAGTATCGTACTCTTCCCCGGAGATCTGGGAGCCTGGATGAGGACGTCTCCTCTATCTCGGGACCAGGACAGGCTTAATGCCTGGAGAACCTGGACGTAGCTATGATTTTGAAGTTAACTGAACCAGGTGGAGACAGGACTGGGAAAACAGACCAGGGAAAGGAGGGACTCACCAAATCACTGTTCAAAGTGCTGAGAGTAGGTGGAGGTACTGGATTGGGTAAGGAGGGGTGGGAGCTACCGGTGGCTGGCTGGAGCCCCACACCTTATCTCCTTCCCAGGTTTTGGCACCAGATGTAAGGTTAAATCAAACCAAAATGATCAGGCAAGGAGGCAACAGAGGAGCCAAAAATTTAATAGGGCACAATCCTGGGCGATGTTTGCCAGTCTAGTTAGTCACAGGCTGGAGAAGTTGTGCCCAGCAGGCCAGGCAGTGAGTTTATAAAGAAGTTAGGGGGAGGGAGAGCATAGGTCTACAGTGGTGCGAGGATTGGCTACCCTAAGGCACATGTCATTGGCCTTTACAGTAGACAAATAGCTAGAAAGTTACTCCTCATTTTACAGGTTGGGAGGAGGCAGCAGCCAGAGATTTTGGCACGTCATCAGGCCAGAATCTGATGGTCTCTTTCCCTTACTAGGCCAGAGTTGGGGGCTTTGCCGCCCCCTTTCCTTATTTGGTGAGGGTGAGCTCGTCTGACATGCTCACCCCTCCCTCCGGGGCCTCCAGCCTTACAGTGACAAAGGGCTAGGGGTGTGGACTTAAGTGGTCTAAAGTATCTTTGATAAGATGTTAAGTTTCTTATCAGCCCTCTAGGTAATTCTGCAAAATTAGCTTATCAGTCAAGACAGTCCTTCCTCCAAGGTGGGCAGAGTTATTTGGGGTGCTAAAGAGTATGTTAAGAATCTTTCTTCTTAACTACTTGGGGTGTTTTTTTTCAAAATGCAATTTTGGCTTTAAGGTGGGATCTCCCTGTCTTTATTATGCTGTTTATAGGTGGGCCTTTTAGCAGGCTAGAGTAAATCTTAATGATCTAATTAACACAATGAAGACATGGGCTGTGCTCAGATACTTTTATATGGGTTGCTCTTGACCTTTTAGGCTTTAACTGATTAACTCATTAACTCTGAGTCTTTTCTGGATTTCTAGTTTTAACTGGTTAACCAAGTCCTTTCTAGGGGGCTTTACTGACCTTGTTTTCTTTCCACCCTGCTCATGTCTATTTTCCTGCCTAACATTAGGAAGACATTTCCTCTACCCCTGGAAGTTCTTCTAGCTGGTTTATGTCATATTGACATGAGATAGACCAACAGGAAAAAACAAGTTTAATTACATACATACGGGGAAGCCATAGATGTGGCTTCCAAAGATGGTCAGGGAGAATGAGATATAGATGTCATCCTGAACCAAAGAGAAGGGTGTGGGGGCCTGAGACTTTAAGGAAAATGGAAACAGTTCACAGGTATATAAAAAGAGTAAATATTTTAAACAAAATAGTTGGGGGGCCATACAGAAACAGTGGGGCACCGTGAGAAATTTTAAGATTTTAACACATTTTGTTATAGTCCTTCCTGTCTGGGAAGAAAATAGATATGAGCGAGGTGGAAAGGGAAAAAGGCCAGGAAAGTCCACTAGAAAGACCCAGAATTAATCAGTTAAAGCTCAAAAAGCCAGGAGCAACTTGGCCTGGAATGTTTGAATATTCCCCAGATAAAGGAGGGTACTTCAGCATAGCCCATGTCTTTATTATGTTAATCATACAAGCCCAGCTTATTTTTTCACTTTACCTATATGCTGTTTTTTCCTCCTTGGGCCCTCCTCAAGTAGTTTGCAACCTAGGTAACTAATCTAGCGTGCAGGCCAAGCCATAAATATAGTAAAAGGCAGGAAGTTAAGAAGTAACATTCTTAACTTACTGTTTAGCAAACAGACAATAACTCGGCCCACCTTGGGGGTTGGGCAGGCAACCTTGTTTGATAGGCTCCCAGGCCAAGAATGATGGGCGTCCCAGGGAGAAATCAGAGCAGGAAGTTCCTTGTGTTGTTAATTTTAAGTATTCAAACACCACTTAACAGGTCTGCACCCCCAGGCCTTAGTCATATTTCTGACGAATCCTTAAAAGGGGGAACCCCAGCCTTTTGGGGTGCTTTCTCCGAGGTTGCTGGTATAAGATAAATTTTAGCCAAAATAAGCAGGTGACGAGAGGCAACGAAGGGCCAGGCAGTTTACTTGAGTGCAATTTTCGGGTGATGTTCCCAGGTCTGGCTTTCACAGGCCGGGGAAGTCACATTCAGCAGGGCAGGCAGCTAATTTTTAAAGAAGGCAGGGGGAGGGATAGCAAAGGAATACAGTGGCACGGGGATTGGCTTACCTAGGGTACGTGGGGGGTCTCTCATTGGCCTTTAGTCAGGTACTGGAAAGTTACCACCACTCTTCTAGATTGGGGGAGGGCTCTAGTTAGGAAAGTTGTCCGATCAGACTCTGGAATGTTGTCAGACTGGAACCTGTTGGTCTCTTTGCCTTGTTTGGTGAGGCCTGAGCTTTTCCAGCAGGCTCACCCCTTCCCCTGGAGCCTCCAGCCTTACATTCCAGCCTTTAGTCATAATGGGCGATGACTTAGTCTGGCTACTTCTGGCTGACAAGGGGCATTGTGTGTGGGGTTTCTTAGCATGTAGTTACATTGCTCTGACTGCAAATATCTTGCCTTGCCTTTTCTAGAGACTCTCACCTTATTCTGTCTAAGCCTATGGTTCTTGTCTCACTTTCTCTTCTACAGACAGAGATTCTAGCGGCTGCTAGGGAAAAGGGGCAATGACCACTCTGGCTGCTTCATGCTGAGAGGGGGTGCAGTAAAGGGTGCAGCTAGGTTTTCATCACTGGTCAGTTGAGAGGGCCTTGGAAGGTTGGCACTTCTATTCTGGGTTTCATTTTTATTACTATTTTCAGTTTTGTGGCTTCTAGGCAAGACAGTACAAATTGTGTTATTAGGTTAAGTAGCAACATCTGGAGTTGGATTTTCTATTCTGGAAGGACAAACTTGATGAGATTAAGAATGCATGGCTGAATATGAGAACTAGAAATATAAAGACTTTAATTGAGAATCATAGCCAGGTATTATGGGGAAACTAGAATTCTGGATCGAGTTTACATCTCAATGACTAGTATTAGGATTTAGTATAGATAAGACTGCATTATTAAAACAATACTTCTCTTTAAAATCACTCTCATTTTTATTAGAAGTAACCAGATTAAAAAAATGATTAACACGTGGCTTTATTATTTGCATAAGTGCAGCAAGAAGAGCAATTGATTACATAGGCTCTTTCAAATATGCTTTGCTGGAACTTTTTGTAAGGAATTTCAGATTGAACTTTTAAAGGCTTCTTTTCTTGAGGCCAGACAGCTAAGCCAGACTTGCTAGCAGGTTGTGCCTGCAGTACTTGTACACTTGGGTGAATTCTTCCCTTCTTCAGGTTCTCAAGACATTCTTGAGGTTCCTGCATCTGCCAGGAAGTGACTTTCTTTACTCACCTGGTAAGGCTGCTCGGAACTCTGTAAGCAAGGTACCAGGCCAGTTTTTCTAAGGGGCTTTGTTGGCTTTATAAAGTCAATCTTAGTTCCTTAAAGCTGTCTGTTTATATCTGAGTTTACACATGTGTCTCTCAGGTATGACATTCTAGTCAAAGGCTTGGTAATATAACCAGTGTTTTTAATTGGTCTTCTTACAAGGAAAACAGATTCTTATTGAACTTGTGCAAATAAACATACTGCCATGAAATGTAAAAATAGTTACTGAGAGTTTTTAAATTTTGGAGGGATCAGGTAGAAAGAAAAAGTCTCAATTCTGCTTATAAAGGCAGTCATTTACTAAACTGTTGTCAGCTTAAGAGGAAAAGCTTAAAACACTTTATCAACATTTGAAACAAAAAGCCACAAAATCATCTTCATTAGTTTACTTAATCTTATGTAACTAATACCTGTTCTGCTGAAATCTAGTTCTTTAGTAGTTTAGGAGTAATAAAACAGTGACTATAAATGACAAAAGACTTACAAATGACAATGGTTAAAGATCTGATGAGAGCTTACTGTAAGACAGTTGACATAAGGAAATATGGATATTTCTGTAACGAAACATTCAGTAACAAAGTTGAGCATCATTTCCTTTGACAGTGCTTTCCAGGTAATTATATATCATATAAAGAAGCTAAATTAGCCAAATACTTTCTCCAATGAGAAAAAGTTCCTCTGACATGTTCTAGGGGCCCTCTGGAAAATATCAGAGTTAACTAGAGGTAAAAGTACTTTTTTGAATTTGATTTTGGGAAGTTGTTAGAAGAAAGTTTTTTTGGCACTTGCTTAAATAGGATTATAGGTTGCTATGAAGCAATACTTATCTATTTAACTAGAATTACAACAAAATATCTCAAAGGCAAATAAAGAAGGTTACACAGTTGTTAGCAAAGTTTAGCTTTTAGTCCTTTTAATAGTAAGATCTCATTTTCTTAAAGAGTCCGACAACTCACTAAGACTTTTAAGCATAAGAAACTGCTTTGGTAAAACAATTAGAAGAACCTTCTGCAATCTTTCAATATTAAGAGCAGACTAACAGTTAAGAAAACTTTGTCTTTTTAACTGAAAACAAAATTCTGATTTTGCTATGTACTTGATGCTGAGACTCATTTGCTTTAGTTTTATATAGTATGACCATATTAAATTCTTCTACAAACTTTTTACAACTTTCTTTTTACATTTAGATTTCTCTCTCTAAATAAACAGCTGTACTTTAGAACAAAGTTACTTTCTTTTATCAAAAGACACATTCACATTCTTTAGCATGTAGAAATGTTTTCCTTATTACTTTAAGGAGTTTTAATTAGAACTTAAAACCATTACTTTAACCTTCGGTGAACATTGAAAAATAGGCCACTGTAAACTGTTACACTAGCATTCTTCAGATTGATACACCTATGAACGTATATTATCATTTTTGGAAATGTGCTTTACAGCACAATTTCTCATTAGGCACAAATTATGTCTATATCATAGCAAACTAAGAATTTTGGTTATCACATAATTCTCAGGCTGTTTGCATATATATAGTTATACATTAATACAGTATTATTATTAAGACATTTATTTGCTATGCTTGTTTACTTATTTTTAGCAGGTATGCTACTTACAAAACTTTTACCAAACATTAGACAAAGTTAAACTTTTCTTTAAGCATCTTCTTGAAATGTTTAACAGATAACGTTAATTTAAATGACTTTAAGTAAACTTTGGCAGCTGATAACTATAAGGACATGTCTGTTTCAGTTAAACTTAAATTAGCATTAATGCTTAATATTTTTTATTAGATTTTCTGGAAGTTTTAGAATGCCCAATTTTTACAAGTGCTTGTTTTTAAATAAATTTTTATTAATTCCGTCTGGAGGTAGGAAAATATTTTTCATTTACACACTTAGGCACACAAACATACAAATTGAGACATAATTACTACAGTTAGCAACACTTTTCATATAAAAACTTATACACAGACAAACTGATATAAAGATTTGAGTTACTGATATTTAATTGCTTTCCTTCTTTTTAGCTTCTGGTCTGTGGCTTCCGGAACTGGAGAGCAGGAGGAGCATGTTCGGGTGGGGGAAGAGGGCAGTGAAGGTGGAAGGAGGGGGAGGGGGTGGTGCAGCCACCAGAAGAGGAGAGGAGTAGGACGATGGCATGGTTGAGAATGTAGGATTTTAAGATGGCAGCAACATGGGGGAGGACAAAGAACTTAAAGATGGTGGTGGAGAGGGGTGGGGGTAGCGAGCTGAGAGAGGTGGGAGACTAACATCCTCTGGGATCTGAAAAATGAAAAGGAAGAAGGACTGGGCCGAGTAAGAGGCTGACAATCTTTAACTGGAGATTGGGCTAGGAGAACTTGGGTCATTGAACACAATGTAAAGGTCTGGGTGGGAGCACAATGTCCAAAAAGCCTGCACATACAGGATTTCACTCCACTCTCCTCTCCAGTGGCAATAATTAATCAAGGTGGTGAGAAGGCCAAAATTGAAAATTCCCTCAGGGGGCCAGCGAGATTGATTGTCCAAGGGATACTGAGGCCCGGCCTCAGAGCAAAGAAAGACTAGCTTCCATTTGCAAACTTCCCAGGACAAATATAGAGTAGCCAAATTAGAAATGAGACACTGCAGTGGGGACTGAGCCTCCGCTTTTGAGGGCTGATTCCCCATGTCTATAGCAAAGGATTCTGTTTGACCTGGCCTGTCCATTTGGGTCCCCCGGGAAGCAAATGCCAAAAAAATGTCTCCCACACCACAGGGCTGGGGGTGGGCCGGATGCCTGCAGACATCCTGGGGCTGGGTTAGGGACGTCTCCTGCACTGCAGGGCCAGCGGTGGGCCGGATGCCCCAACCTGGACATAGCTATGATTTCTAAAGGACCAGGTGAAATGGATTTAGGAAGGGAAACATACCAGGGGAAACTGAGGGACTCACCAGAAAATAGTCCACGCAGCGGAGAGCAGGCCGAGGTCCTGGGTTGGGGAAGGAGGGGGCAGGGCCACCAGTGGCCGGTTAGGGCCCCACGCTCACACTCCTTCCCGGGTTTCGGCACCAAATGTAAGATAAACTTTAGCCGAATTAAGCAGGTGACAAGAGGCAACGAAGGGCCAGTTTATTTGAGCACAATTCCCAGGTGATGTTCCCAGGTCTGGCTATCACAGGCCGGGGAAGTCACATTCAGCAGGGCAGGCAGCTAATTTTTAAAGAAGGCAGGGGGAGGGATAGCAAAGGAATACAGTGGCACGGGGATTGGCTTACCTAGGGTACGTGGGGGGTCTCTCATTGGCCTTTAGTCAGGTACTGGAAAGTTACCACCACTCTTCTAGATTTGGGGAGGGCTCTAGTTAGGAATGTTGTCCGATCAGACTCTGGAATGTTGTCAGACCGGAACCTGTTGGTCTCTTTGCCTTGTTTGGTGAGGCCTGAGCTTTTCCAGCAGGCTCACCCCTTCCCCTGGAGCCTCCAGCCTTACAGCCTGCACTAAGTGCATAACCTTTTAATCTTAATCTCTCTCTACAACCTTTAAGGGCACCTCTCCTCACTGAGGTTGCCTGCTATACTTTTTCTCTAAGTAACTTTAAATAAAACTTTGATTCTGCTTCAGTATTGTGCCTCTGCCCTTCAATTCTTTGTCACAGTGGGGACAAGAACTGAGGAAAATATACAATGCTCCCCAAACACTTCCTATTGACCCTAATTTAGTTTTACAGTACAGCTATCTATGGTGATAGCTTTGCTCCATGAGCAGGTCCTCCTTCTAAAATCCTTTTATGCAGTTGGTGGGGGGTGGAGGGGAGGTCAAAGTATCTTCCTGAGTCTTTTGGGCCTTGATGGTTTTCAGCTCAAAATAATGTGCATGTCACAGCAGCACATCTTGGGCTGGCCTGCCCTTGGTTCCCACACAGGACAGGGCTCAGCTCAGGGGCCTTGTGTATGGCTGTGATCCCAGGGCTTGAATGCCAGAACCCCTTAGACCTCCGTCAACACAGTATGTCAAACCGATAGCAACTCAGTGGCTACACCCACCAAGGACTCAAGTGTGGACCAAGGCAAATGTCTTGACCTCCCTGTCCCTCGGCTTTTCCATCCGTGAGGTAAGGACAATGCCACTGTGCTGTTATCACAGGCTGTACTTCTGATGGGAGGAGCCTGGTCGATACAGATCTGCTTAGGCTTTGGGGCTTTCCCACCAAGGCCCTGGTTGTGCTGTAATTACTGAAGCACATTTTGAGATCTGTGTGGTGGGAGCCCAGGGTGGGATGGAACTTGAGAGGTTCAGTGTTTACCAAACTTTATTCAGCAGACTGAAAGTTCTATGAGATGTTAATGGGTGTCCTGTGTGGTGGGCGTGGGTGTGAGAGTGTGGATGTTAGTGTTCAGTGGTCAAATAATTTGGGAAACTCTTCCCAGTATGTTTCCCCCTTAATAAGTCATAATATTACTAAAATAAAGACTCCAACAAGCCTGTAGCAAAGGATTATGTTTGACCTGGCCTGTCCATTTGGGTCCCCCAGGAAGCAAATGCCAAAAAAATTAGATGTGCAGAGGTTTATTGGGGGTAATGCCTGTGTGCAAAAGGGGAGGGAACAGAGGGGGCAGGGTACCTTAGACCACAGAGCAAGTCTGGCACCTGTGAAAAGAGATGGCAGATGATGGGGCAAGAGGGGCCTCAGCCCACCCAAGAGAGTCTCAGCCAACCCACAAGGACCCCCAGGCAAAGTAGGCTGGGCCAGTCCAAGGCCACAGTGGGCAGAGCCGGCCAGCCCAGCACCTGTGCAGTGTTGTCATTGGCTGGAGCAGCCTGGGGAGAGCCTGTCTTCATCTTGAATGTTCTGCACATATTTACGAGTTATTTTTCTTCTTTTTTTTATTGAGGTATAATTGATATACATTATTTTAGTTTCAGGTGTACAATATAATGATTCAATATTTGTGTAAATTGCTAAATCATCACCACAGTAAGTCTAGTTAACACTGGTCACCAAATATACAGGTTTTTTTTCTTGTGATGAGAACTTTTAAGATTTACCCTCTTAACTTTCAAATATGCAATACGGTATTATTAACTATAGTCACTATGCTATACATCACATCCCAGGACTTATTTATTTAATAATAACTGGAAATTTGTACCTTTTGACCCCTTTCACCCATTTTGCCCCCCACTGCTCTGGTAACCACCAATCCATTCTCTGTATGGATAAGCTTGATTTTTTAAAAATATTCTACATGTAAGAGAAATTACACAGTATGTCTTTGACTTATTTCACTTAACACATTGCCTTCCACATTCATCCATGCTGTTGCACACAAATGTCAAGATTTTCTTTTTTATGGCTGAATAATATTCCATTGTGTATATGTACTGTACCTTTATCCATTCATCCGTAGATGGACTTATAGGTTGTTTCCATGTTTTGGCTATTATAAATAACGCTGCACTGAACACGGGGGTGTAGACAACTTTTCAAGCTAATGTTTCTGGTTCCTTTGGGTAAACCCTCACTATAACCCAATGAGGTAGGCCTTGCTGTCCCTCCCACATTTACAGATGAGGAAGCTGAGGCACATGGGTTTGAATGACTTGCTCAGTGCCACCTGGCAGTGTTAGTACTGTGGAGTTTAAACTCAAGGCTGCATTTGGGGACCACGGCCCTGGCCATGGGGCACTGAGGCTGGAGCAAACACACAGGAAATGAGTGCTCTGACCCTTGCTCATCGGCACTGCAGATGGCAAAGCCACAGCCCCGAAATCTCAGCTCTCACCTGCACTGCCTTGGGTGGGTTACCCCTTCCCTCCTTGAGAACCTTTCTGCCCTCTGCTCTTGGACACCTCCTTCCAGCTCCTGGGCTGCTCTTTTTGGGCCCTTTCCTGCCTCAAAACCAGCCTGGCCTGACATCTACTGAGCCTCCAGGCACAGGGCCCACTGGTGAACACAGCCAGTGCTTGGCCGGAATCACCAGGCTCTTTCCACTGACTGGGCCTCTTCCTCCTCTGGGATGTGGTCTGTTTGTTTCCTTTTCTTTCTTAATATGTGTATACACAGAGGAGGCTTCTCTATAGCCTTTGAGATATTTATTTTTTAAAATATGAATCTGGGCTTCCAGGCAGAGCTAGAGGAACCTCAGTGGTGCCCCGGTCATTCTCCCTTTAAATCTGCACCAGATTTAAAGCCCAGAAAGACATTCCTTTGTGTCAGAACCGAGCGAGGATGGGCTGGCCCAGGCTGTCACCCTCTAAGGGTTGGCACAAGGCTCTTCCTGCTGGAGAGAGGCTCTGCTGAGAGGCTCCCAGAGCATGAAGACCTGCATGAGCCCAAATAAGGGCATGTTACAAAGGTCTTCAGAACTGAGTCTAAGTGTGAGTCACTTCTTAGCGACACTGTCACACAGTGTCTGACTCAGAGTGGAGATTTTTCAGCGTTTAATGGAAAGAAGGAGGAGGACAGGCCACCTCACCCCTCTACCCACTGCACAGCAGGGATCAGTCACCTGGGGAGGCCAGGTGCTCTGGGGCCTTGTGCTCAGGACTGCCACCCCTGGGTTCTGCTTTGGGATGGGCTGCTCTGACAGGGTTGAAAGCTCAGGCTGGAGGAAGACCCCCCCACAAAGCAGGGGCCTTCGCAGCTGGCTCCCCCTATTACCCACCTTGATTTTGTTATTCTCCATTATACTACTGGCTTTGCTTTTGCTTGCATTTTTGCCAAAGACTAAGCTAACCTTTGATAAGCAGTACAGAAAAGAGGAGAACATAAACTCCCCAGAAGCTTTTCAGGACAGTGCTCCTGAAGAATAGAACACGCAGGAGCCAGATGGCGATCTTGGCATAGAATATCAAAACCTAGAGTCAGTTAGTCAAACATTGACTACCCCATCTCCACCTAAGTAGGAATGCCCCCCTTGTTTGCAATGCTAGTGAGATTAGTAATGAAGAGTTTTATAGGATAGAGAAATCAAGTTATAGGAGAATACTGAAAGGAATAACCCTGACACTTAATCAATCTTCTCATGTTTTCTTTCCTCTGCTACTTCTATAGTTTTTCTTCTTCCTTCCTAATTACAGCCCTTTACTAGAATTTGTGCCTCATATGTGAAATTACCAAGTATAATAATTCTTCAAAGTGGTAAAGATACCTCAAGACAAGTGCTGGGCATAGAAGCCATGGAACATAAATCTGCAAGGAAGTGAAAAGCTAACATTTTCAAAGAATATTACTTCTCTCTCACTTACCAGCTTTACATCTCCCTGTATGGCCTCGGAAGATGGCTGGTTAGCCAGAGACGGATAAGATTCCTCAAGGGAGGAACAACCTAAGACAGGCACAGTTGCAGGGGGGCCATCAGGTGAGAAAACGGGGGCTAACAGAGGTGAGGCTTAGAACCTCAACCCTCAGTTTTGAGAGAAATTGTCTACACCCATGGATGTTTTGTTGCCCTTGTCTGGCTTGGATTAATATCTAATCTATAGGCACATCTGATCATCTACACTTGCCTTCTTACAGTTCTAAATCATGCTATCTTTATCTTGCATCTACCTACAATAGAATAAATATTATGAGGGGATAAAATATACCCATTGCATTAGAAATATAGATGATACCTGCCTAGCTAACTGTAGTAGCGAGTGACCTGTATTTCACCCTGAGCTGATAGACTCCATAGTCACTGCTACATGCTGCATGTTTCTGCGGTCACATGCACTATCTAGAAATTGCGTTGCACAGAAATGTAAAACACAATAGAGTACATGTTGCTAGGAAAAGTTTCGGTCAAGAAACAGAAAAAAATCACCTAACACTTGACCAACCATGAATAGATTAGGAAGAAAAAGAAAGTAAAAAGCTTGCCTATACCTATTAATCAACTGCCTACACCAATTAATCAACAGAATAAAAAATAATCATATCCTTGTGCAAAACGGTATAAAGCTGTCATCGGCACTTTGTCAAGAGACCACCTCTATCTGACTCTGTGTCCTGTCTCTCCATGCACTGACTCCGTTTCATACTTTTGGGCTTCATACCTGCACCCCCTGCTGGAGCTGGACTCTAGCACCTCACCTTTCTACTTTTACTTAGAAGGTGGCGCCTCTCTGGGATTTCTTTCCAGCCCAGCAGTCCAGGCACTGACTGATCAAAACACAAGTAATGCACAAGTGCTGTCTACCATGAATTATGGTGATGTCAATTTGAATAAAAACTAAAAAGCATGGTGATCAATCATTAGAGCTAGTACCTTAGCCCCTTTTATATGACCTGTTACAGGGCTTTTCACAAAGTGCTCACAAAGTGCTCAGTGTGTGTGTGTCTGGTTCCGCCTGCCTGTGAGTTCCTGACATGCACTGGGTCCTCATTCACCTTGCAGCCCAGCTGCTGGGTCCCTGGTAAGGGTCCACTGCCTGGAGGATCTGATGCAAAACTTCACTGGGTAAAGCTGGTTGGTATCTTCAATGTTTGCATCAGTGGTATTGAGGGTCCTGTGTCCTGCTGCAGAAGCTCCTGAATAGACGGCTTTGAGGGGCCTAGATTTAATACCTACCAGGATTGCTGCAGATGGCTGT